CTCTTTTATATAATCATTTCTGATTTTTATATTCTCGTCAATTATGCAAAAGCTTTTAAGTTATCGAAGCTAAAGCGATATGGTCATCTTCCTGATATCAGTATTCGTCCGAGTTCTCTGATGCTACATAGCATTGCATTGTCCTGACCACAGCCGATAGGTTTTGGCTTAGTTGGTGGCCCGCTAGGGTCTTTGTAGTCCAGAATTGGACTATGACGACAAATAGACAGCAACGGTAATTTTTAGCCTTTCCCCTGTTTGGTGGCAAACCGCCTGTAAATTAAATTAATCTCGCCTTTAGAACTGCGTTTTTTCATTTACCATCCAATACAATGAAATAATTTTACACATCAGCAGTCGGGTGTCATTGAATGTAGTTCTCTTTACTGTTTCGACTTGTTGGTTTTTGAACCCCACCAGTTGGCTGCTCTGGGCGAGGAACTTGCGAATCCAGGCGCGCCAGCTCCCGATCCGGCCACAGACTTGAATGTGTTTGCGCCGCCGTTTGAAACATTGGAAGATCTTACGACTACGTTTGGGACCTTGAAGGTGCATTGGACAAATCCGAGTGATAGAAATGGAACGCTGATGGCGATTGCTTTGCTTAACAACGAAGCTAAATCAGACTGCAATGGGAGAACAGAAGAGTCATCACCAGCGAACTGTTTACTCACAGGCTTACGGAATTTTACAAAGTATAATGTTGTGGTGCAGGTCTGCACTGGGCCTGTAGGTGACCCAACCCATTGCAATTACACTTCTTCGAGCAATAGGACCCATCCAGGAGGTAGGCATTTAAATAAATATTTACATTTTGGTTTTACTCCTTCCTCTCGTGCTGTTCACTTTTTGCAAGACTGTTCACTTACCGATTTATAGTTTCCATATTTTTTCGGTTGGTTTTTGTTCTAAACGTGGTAGGGACTTGGCATTCAGTTGTATTTTACTCAGAGTCTAACTTGCCATAAGGCTCTCTGTGTGGCTTATTTCCCTGCCCGGTATATGCCTCGTCACACATTTCGAAAGCAGTGTGCCAGAAAATTAGTTTATCGATTGCGTTTGGGGAACCGCAACTCAGATATCTTGCGACTCTCGTGTTTCTAAGCTGTTGGAGGATTTCCGACTGATCACGTCTTAAGGTGTGGCCGGATCCTGTACAGTGA